ATTCTTCTTTACATGCCCATCTATTTTATAAACTAAACTGTATTTCAGGCAGACTTTAACTTTGTCAGTGTAATCAGTACGAATGATTCCTATGTTTTTCCTCAGCATCATTCTGAAACTACAAGTTACATATATGTATGTTACAAACTTGTAACATACAGGATAAATTGACCAGAATGGGATTTAATGTTATGGGTTAAAATAGATCATGAAAAAGAAGTAGATGCTTCAATTCTATAAGCAGATGTCAAATTTCATATGGTTATGCTTGCGGCCCCTTCCTGATAGTTTGAATTTTGAAATTGATGTAAAAATATTAATGTGGACATAGGAGAGGACACACGAGCTCTTGGAAATGACACAGTCATGCTGAATGGAGTTTCTAAATCCCCCCAAATTATTTTTTGTCTTAACTTCTACAATAGTCATAATTATCTGTCTTGGGCTTCTTGCAAAATTCTGGACTTCAATTTATGTCGTAAACAAGTCCTGCTTAATACAATACAGAATCACATTTTCCCATAACTCCCATATTTTCGTAAAATGTACCCAAATCAGCTGCTTTATTTGTGGTGCTCTCCCACAGCATAAATAATCTCTCTCATCAACAATATCTTTTTTAATCCCAGAGGGCTTGGCAGGACTCTTGTTTGGTGTAGATGGAAACTGGAATCTATAGTGATTCGGGAAATACAAGTGCAGAAGAAAATTCAGGCACACAGTATCAGCTACCACCAACCCACCCAAAATTTACCTTTTCCCCTAAATTCCACACCCCCAGATAATCAGGTCAATGTCCAGTTTTCTGGGTCTCACACTTTCTAGATTCTCAAATACCTTCAGMTGTCAAAAATGTGTCCTTTGAATCAACCAGAGTTTGTTTATTAAGAAGAGATTCTGACATTTTTTAAGTCTGCAAAGTGGGGTACTCTAATTATGAAAAGCCTAAATAAGTAAAAAAATCATCAATTTTCTTCTCACACAACATCAGCCACTTCAATGTTTTGATCACTACATGAAAACTTTCCCTTCTTTACTTAACTGGGGGATTTTAAGCAATCTTTTCACCCACCCTATTTTGGACTCAGCAGCAGATGGCATCATAGCTGTTACTCATTATAATTTTCAATAAATTAACCCTCAAAAATACCCAGAAAAATCCTGGGATGGACAAGTTTTGAGACAAGACTCTCATTTGGGCTTGGGTTTTCATTTTCTTCTGCAACCCAGCATCTGGGGTATAGCTTGAGGTACTAATGAATTGCTGTCTGAATTCTTAGGGTTTTTTTGTCTGCCATCAGAAGGGCTCAAAAAAACCCATGAAAGGAATGGAAATATACATGAGGAGGTCACCTCTCCACCTGAAAGGTGCACTTCTTACAAATGGAACAAATTATCTGAAATTTCTCCTTCTTGCCAAAGASCAAGACCTCAAGAGGAACTGCAACAATACGAGAGTGTCAATCCCAGAGCAGGAGATGGGTGGTTTTCTGACTTCTGGTCTAAGCAGTAAAGTTCCCTTTTCACCAAGATGTACCTCACCACAGACCTCACTGCCTTCGGAACAGAATGCAAAGCTGTGCAGCAGAACCCACAACACTAAAAAGAGAGTGAACTGAAAACTGTCTACATGGACATGCAAAGAGCAGGCACCGCAGCAGCGGAGATTGGTGCCTGAGAGCTGWCACAAAGAGAACCACCACCGCCACTTACGCAATTGGAGCACAGAGGTGGCAGATATGAAACAGCACCTCCTCCACCCTGCACGCCGGGACTCACAGCTCATGCTGAGAGATACCTTTCAGCTCCACAACCACCAAATCTAGATTTTGGAGGAGTTCTGGGAAAGCATATGAACAGGGTCTTTTTTTCAATTGCAGTTCAGTCCCCATCTGTGTTGGACATATTAAGAAACTCAACTAATTTAATCCACCTTTAAGGTGGGTTTAAATGCAGTCACTAAACATAGAAGACTGCTTAAAGGTATGGAATTCAAGCAGCTTTCTTCAGGTGGCTCTGGTGTTGCTCTGAAACTTTAGAAGAGTATGTTTTTCTTCACCAATCTCTTTCAGATGTTCTGACAAGCCAGCCAGTTGTCAGCTGGGGTCCGCCACGATACTGAAGTGATGCACAAGCTGTGCTTGCCAAAGAGGCTTTGAAYTTTGCTGACATTACACTTTTTCAAGATCTAAATCAAAATTCTAGATCATGCCACCCATACTTGTGATGAGTATCACCTTATTGCTCCTAGGGGCTTACTCAAAACAAAAAGAGTTGGAAGGTAAAGGCCTGACAAAACTGTGGGTGAGGTGAGAGCCCAGAAAAAGAAMTTAACTCATTGTCTACCACTAACACTAAAAGAAAAGGTCAACTTTAAGAAGAAAATCCTGAAAATATATTGTCCTCACATACTGGATGGCAGCAAATGAAATGAGATGCTGTAAAGTGATACCAGGAAGTTGCTTCTGACAGTGTGTAAGAATAGCAGGAGTGGGGGTAAGAAAGCACAGACAGCATAAACACAGGGACCACCCGACCAGCCTCGCTGCACTATCAAGATACATACAGCATTGACCTAGGATAACAAACAGATGCATTTTATGAACCACTGCCAAAGCTGCTTTAAAAAAAAAGCTATTATATGTCTCTTAGCTAGAAGGGTCTGTAAATATTGCCTTTTAATAGATACTGCATTAAGAATGGTGGATCAGGAGGTGGTAAAATAAATGACAATGTGAACTTCTACAGGAGTACCAACCCATCACTGATGGAGTGTGAGGAGACAATGTCTTCTCAGCACAACGCATGTCAGGATCTAGAAAATKAGGACAAATATGCAACAGAAGTTGCGACTTGTGACTTCAAAAGTGGCAAGTGACTCAGTCCAGGAACCAGCAGAAAGCAAACTTTTTGCAGGTTATTTAAAATGAAAATTATTCTTCTATACATGCAGCAGCTYGAGCACAGGTAACACCTGATGTAAATGAGTCACCTTCTTAAATCAGATGGCTAGAGAAAAAGGTAGAAGCAAAAATAACGGCTCATATTATTTCTCTAAATACTTCACATTTCTGTCCCCATTACAGTTGTTKTCCAGGTTAGTAGGGGAATGGACAGCAGGTTATTTTAATGGCCCCTCAGTATAAAACCAATTCTCTAACACCACATTAAAAATTTAACAGCTTTGCATCTTTAATGCATACTTTCCTTTTTAAAGAGGGAATCAACAGTTGAGTGGCCACGTGTAAGTGTTATTGTTGTGTCCAATGAGCATCTAGAAAAAGGATACAGGAAGCAGCAAAGGAGAAAATAAAGAATGAAAGAAAATATGAC